CGAGACTATCTCCCAGATGGCCACCTACCCGCGCGTGTAGTCCCCATCAGACAGTCTCACCTCGCAGTTGAGCTCTCCCCGTCTCCGACCCGGACTGTCACCGCTCTCCCTCCGCTCAGGCTAACGTTAGCATAGCCACCACACAACTATCTCAATATCAACACTTGAGTGGGAAGCTACACGGACACACACGACGCGGATATGTCGCGCTGGTCTGAACACAACACGGGCTCCACTGTGCCTTCAGACTGTCTTGTGGAGCTCCTCAGTTAACTCTAGTCGGTCAGTATCAGGCAGGTTGCTGAATAAATTATTCCATTCGCAGAAAGAGTCGGCATGGCAGCGCACCCGGGCCCCGAGCTGTAGCCAAGTGTGAGTGGGGCGGGGATCCCTGACTACTGAGCCCGCAAGGTGGTGAGCATGGTGCTGTTACTGTTAGCTTCCTCCTCCTGGTTCAGGTTCTTTATCGAGTTATTAAATGACAGCGGTTGAACGTAATAATATTAACTTAACAGACAGCAAGATACTAAGAAATGGGAAGAATATTGTGCTTCATATTTTTATTTATTTGTCTACATACTGATTAAACGTGTAAAAGTCAAATTCCCCGGAGCAATGTTAGATTCAGGAAAGATTTAACGATCAAATGAGGTGGGGAAGTGACATAAATAGTTAAATAAGAACTGTTATGTGGATGAAGAGCTCAATTCTGACTGAATTAACGTTTGACAAATAATCAAAAAAATAATCAAAAATACCTTCATTAAGATAATGTTTTTGATTAATTCAGAGCTTGTTAAATTTGTGCAGCTGGGGTCACCTGCTAAGTATGGCCTACATGTGTAATTAGTCATGTTTTTTATAATATATTTGTTGATATTTAATGACAATTTTAACAATACTGTGAAAATCGAAAACAACTGCAAATGTACTCAAGTCTAGTTGTCTAAGCAGGTTTACCCTGTAAGCAGACCGGAAGATGCTAAAAGAAGTGTCCCAAAACTCTAAAATGACATCATGGCTCCTCCTTCTGTTGATGTGAAAGTGCATGCTCCTAGAAAAAGAAGGAAACTGCATAAGTTTCAGTTTCATTGGAGGTGTGCCAGAAGAAAACCATTGCACAAAAAACAAAACAAAACATGAAGGCCAGACTAAAGTTTGCCAAGCAGAACTTAGCTAAGAACCAGACTTCTGGAATATTGTTCTTTGGACAGATGAGTCTAAAATTGAATAATTTGGACTTCACAATAGTGGACATGTTTGGCTTCAAATATATACAGCATTTCAGGAAAAGAACTTCATGCCAACTGTGAGGGAGGCAGATGTTATTATCATGCTTTGAGAATGGTTTGCTGTGGCAGGACCCGGCCAGCTCACCATCAAAGAATCCACCCTGAATTCTACCATATATCAGAGGGCGCTTAAATAAAGCATAAACAGATCTGCAACATGACAGTGACCCACAACATTCCAGTAAATCCACACAGGACTGAGCGTGACTTAAGAGATGTGACCCTCGTCCAGCACAGATGAACCTCAGCATGCAATCAAGTTCTACAGAGTCATATAATGACATAATTATTTGAAATAAGTGTTGCAGACATATCTAAAATTAGCAGGAAACCAGCCTTCGAGGACTGGAGTTTGACTCCCCCTGCTGTGGAGTGATTTTAAACACAGGGTACATGCAAACAAATCCATCAAACATCCCACAGCTTAAAGTGAGGAGTGGGACAAACTGGCATCAGTCTGAGGAAGAGTGATGTCAGAGGCTGATAGATGGTTACAAGCTGCATCTCACTGAAGTTATTTCAACCAAAATGGGCAGCACTAGCTATTAGGACGTAGGGTGTCCTAACTTTTTCTCAAAATACAAACTTGTATTCTTGTTTGTTCACATTAAATTTTCTGTTTCAGAGATAAATAAGTTAAAGGTCATAAATATGGTAACTGAACTCCTCTTAATCTCCTGGTCAACAGTATTGGAGTTTCAGGCTCTCAGAGTTTTAATTTGGACATTTGCTGCTTTTTTAGTCATTTTTAATTTAGTCCCTGTGTGTAACCAATTTAGCAAACAAAAACAATTTTGATTTGTCTATCCACCTTCAAAAGAAGAAAAAGGTGAAAGGGAATCAAGAGGCATGAAACAAATTCATCAGTGTTCATACGGGATGATGTATCAAGGAACCATTAGGTCAACAGCAAGGGGCTTTAAGTTTAAGGGTGAATCGAAAGTCCATAACATGTCTGCAGTTACAGCATCTGTTGTCAAACGGCGCTACAATGTCTTCGCTCTTGTAGCTTTGCCGGCTGTGTAGAGAGGGTCTAGAGTCCAGAATATCTTGCTACATCAGTTTCAGGTGAACACAGCCTTCCCTATATTTTTGTTTTAGTCTCGCCTTCAATCCAAGCTCATCAGTTGAACTCACCAGTGACGTTTCATTTCACACAACAATCGCAGGAAGACATTGTTTAAAGTTTCTCTTGTCTGCTCCAGAATTCCATGAGGCGTTCCCACAAGATGTTGCAGCAGAGGAGTTAATAAAATAGTCTTGTTTGTATTTAACAGTTCTCTTTATTTTCCTTGCTATTTTTATTTTGCATATAGTTGTCATTTAAGACTCTCTGCACCAGAAAACACCCATTTAACAAAATGATATAATGGAATTATCTTTTACATAAAACATTGTAGCACTCAAATCTGCATTTTTTTTTTGCACTTCTTGAGCAAAAATAAGTCATTTGTTTTTACAGTGGGTTGCCATGTTATAGTCTCAGGATTTTAAAAATGCGCTCGATAAAAGTATTCACTCACCCCTCCAAATATTAAGCTCAGGTCTTTTAATACCTTCTATGGCCAAAGGTGAACACACTCCTAAACCTTGTGGAAAGCAATTGCAGAAGAGTTGAAGCTGTTATAGCTGCAAAGGGTGGGTCAACACCATATTAAACCTTATGGATTACAAATTTGATGTAACTCAAGTGTGAGAGCAGAGAAGTGGATGCTTTGGCAAGAAATATAGACAGTTTTTCATTAGGATGCAAATGTGCCATTATCTAATTACGTAAATATTTATTGAACTCCATAATTCTGTATTTCGTAGACAGCATGTAATAAAATAAATACCTGGCTTTGTATCTAGGACATTTTATTCTCTTTATACTAGTATAAAGAAGAAGATTAAAGGAAGAATGATTGCAAAAAATCTCAAAAATGTATTTATACAAGGTAAGGAGTTATAAGCAATCTCAAGGAACATGCCATACTTTATATTGTCTGAGTATTTTAGTCTTTCGTCTCTTTATTACATCCACCAAGGAGGTTATGCTTTTGTTCTTGTTGGTTTGTCCATCTGTTTGCAAAATATCTTAAAAAGATTTGAACAGACCAAACAGATTTGGATGGAACTTTCAGATCAGGAGTGTATTAGGACAAGGAACAGATGGTTAGATTTTGGTGGTGATGCGAAGCACCATCTGGATCCAGGATTTTTTTGAAGGATTCTTTATTATTGCCAGACCATGGTGCAACAACTTGGGACTCCCACATGGTGCAGCTGACATGCAGTGGCCAGAAGTCATCCAGAGTATAAGTTCATCAGTATAAAAAACAGCTGACATGTGTCAATGACCCTATTGCCTTGGCGGAGGTCTGCGCTCTCTGAGGGCTTTTATCATAATACAAACAGCATCATAAGGACCAAGGAACACAGGAATAACTTTATGAAGAAGTTTGAAGCAGGGTTGAGATTATAAAAGAATGCCCCAAGCTTTAAACATCTCACAGGTCACTGGTCAGTCCATCATCTGAAAAAGGAAAGAGTAAGGCACAACTGCAAACCCACCAAGACGTGGTCGTTACTTAAAATGAGCTGTGCATTCCACAAATATGGACTTTATAAAAGAATGGTACGAACAAAGTTATTCTTATTTAAAAAGTCCAAAGAAGTTGGGTGTACGTTAATTTGGCCCACATGAATGACACTGTGTGTTTAAAAATAACATGTCACATCACTCTGAGCACACCATCCCATCGGTAAAGCATGATGGTGGCTGGATCATGCTGTAGGTATTCTTCGGCGGTGACAGAGAAGCTGGTCAGAGTTGATGGAAAGATGGTTGCAGCTAAATACCGGACAATCATAGAAGAAAACAGAAGCTACACAAGACTTGAAACGGATGGGAGGTTGATCCTTCAGCAGGACAATGACCCTAAGCATATAGCCACACTACAGTGGGATGTTTTAGACCAACGCATTCTGTGGCAACAATGGAAAATTGCTGTTCATATGCTCTCCCTCCAATCTGACTGAGCCTGCTCTATTTTGCAAGCATGAATGGGCAAATTTCAGTCTCTAGATGTGTAAAGCTAGTAAAGGCACACTCGAATCATTGTTTGATAAGTTAACTGGAAGTTTATGACAACTGGTTCTCATAATTACAAATCTGATTTAATACCCATCGACTGCCAAAGTGACCCACCTACTCTGACTTGAAATATAAACCTGGGTTGACTATATATACTTATTTTTAAACGCCAGACGCACTAATTGTATATCAATGCTGAACTGAAGGTGGTGCTGCAAAACTAGATTGTTTTACTTCTTCTTGAACCATAGCAATTCCCTTAACAGTCACAAGAGGGAGCCAAAATATGCTTTTAAAATCTCAGGCATAATGCATTGATGCATGTAGGAAAAAGAATCGTAAACCTCTGCAGTTTAGCTTTGCCTTTAAGTTTGACCGTTTAGGCCTAAAATACCTAATAGAACCTGCATCATACGAATGATTTATGACGCAGAGCAGCCCCGTTCCACCAGGAGAAGGGCTCCCACCTTGTGTTTTGTAGCCATTGCAGCTGGAGGGTTTATGTTTACAGGTAAAGCACATGTCTAACTGAGAGACAGTAACATAACTATCACACAACAGATCACTGTTTTTAAAATTACAGTTAGAAAATACACAAATCTGTATCTAAAGCATTCAATGTTGATATGGGCTGTATGGTGGTGCAGTTGGTAGCACTGTCAACTTGCAAGAAGGTCCTGGGTTCGACTCCTGGCCAGGGGTCTATTGCATTTTCTCCCTTTGCATGCATGGGTTCTCACCGGGTACTCCAGCTTCCTCCCACAGTCCAAAAACATGACTGTTAGGTTAACTGGTCTCTCTAAATTGCCCTTAGGTGTGAATGAGTGTGTGCATGGTTGTTTGTCCTGTGGCTCTCTGTGTTGCCCTGCGATGGACTGGTGACCTGTCCAGGGTGTACCCCGCCTCCGGCCCATAGACTGCTGGAGATAAGCACCAGCTCCCCCATGACCCACTATGGAAGAAGCAGTATAGAAGATGAATGAATGAATGTTTCAATATTGACGTCTAATGTTTTTTATATTTCATTTTGGAAAAGAAGGTGATTTGTTTAAAGGTAAACTACCAAAAAAACTTGTTTTACTAATTAAACAAAATATAGCAACATAAATCTATATTCTAATTGAGGAAAAACTCATAACTCTCTACTCCTTAGTAGCTTGTGTTCTTTCATTGCAATAACTTCAGTGAGACTCTCCTTGTAGCGATCTGCCAGTCTCTGACATGGCCCTGAGGAAAATTTTTCCACTCTTCATTTTTAGCTGTGATATGTTTGAGGGTTTCCTGCATGTTCAGGGTCCAGTTTTGTTACAGCTTTAAGCTTGTTGTTACAGATGGTTTCAGGTTTTCCTTAACCACCCTCTGATAGACGGTGGACTTCTTGGATTTTATGATTGTGAGCTGTTCTGGTGTTCAAATGATTACATTTTAGACTCATCAGTCTTAAGAACATTAGTTTTAGAAGTCCTGGCCTTTAACTACGTTCGCTGAAAAATTTGAGTCAAACATTCATGTTTTCTTTTTAGAAAACAAAGATTTCTCCCTCACACACCTACAAAAGTTAAACTTGTGGTGTCTTTTAGCATCTTGCTCTGAGTGAAGTTGCTTAGATTGACAGGCCTGGGCATGTTGGCAGTTGTTTTAATTGTTCTCTATTTGTAGACTAACTGTGTTATGGTGTAGTTGAAATTATTTTGACACCTCTTTAAGTTCCTTACCAGACTCTAATGCTCCTGTAATATTCTTTCTGAAGGCCTCAGACAGCTCTTTCCTTCTTACTATGCTGTTCAGTCTCAACAGGAGCACACCCTATTTAACAGCATATCCAAAAATGTATTTGTTTTTTTGAGTCATTCAGAGGTGGTCTTGCTACCCCTGCTTTGGATCATTGTCCTGTTGCAGAAACAAAGTGTAACTGGGCTTAAGGTTCTGATGGCTGCACATTCTCATGATTCCATCGATTAAAGTAAATCATCCGGGTCTTGAGGAAACAAAGCACTCACAAACACTCCCAACACCATGTTTGACTGTCAGTGCGATGGTCTGTTTCTGAACTGCTGTGTTAATTTTAGGTGAGATGTAAGATGATACACATCTTACTACAAGATCCACTTTTGTCTCTTCAGTCCACAGAATATTTTCTCTAAATTCTTGTCGATCATGAAGATGTTTTTTGGAAAATGTGAGACGTGCCTTTATGTTCTTATTGGTCAGGATAAGTTTTGGCCTTGGAACTCTTTCTTATTGTTAAATATTGAAATCTGATGTTAACTGTGGGGCAGTGAGGCTTGCAGTGCTGTAAATGTTGTTCTGGGTTGTTTTGTAACCTTCTGGCTGAATCGTTTGATGTGCTCTTGGAGTAATTTTGCTAACTGGCTTCTGATGGGAAGGTTCACCACTGTTGCATGTTTTCTCCAGTTGTGGATGATGGTTCTTACTTTGATTGGCTGGTGCCCCAAAGTCTTTGAAATGGCTTTGTAACCCTTTTCCAGACTGATAAATGTTAATGACTTTGTTTTTCTACAGTTTGTATTTTATTTTTTTGATCATGTGATGCTTTTTGAGATCTTTCAGTCATCAGAAAGGTTCTACTGAAATTAATTGTTAAATCTGTAGGTCAGGTAATAATCAGGCATGGGTTTGGCTAGTGAAACTGACCTCAGCCCTCTAAAGAATGTAGAAATGTAGAAAAATGTGGGTTAATCACAATTAATACATGATTCAACAAGGGGAGCAATCACTTTTTCCCAAAAGGCCAGGTTGGTTTGGATAGCTTTTCTTCCCTTAATGTATGAAATCATGGTTAAAAACTGATTTCGTAATTGCTCAGGTTATCTTTATCTGATATTAAATGATGTTTGATGATCTGAAACATTCAAGTGTGACCAAAAAAAAAAAAAGCAAAAATAGAAGAAATCTATAAGAGGGGCAAACACTCTTTAGGTAATTGCCAGACACTTTTAACTGTTCACAGACATTTTCTGCAAAAACTTTGCACTGAAAATAAAAACACAGACTCTAAAATCTGTTTTTACAAGCCAACATGAGAAATGCAAAACAAGCTTAAACTATAATATGGGCAGTTTTGTTCAACAAAAAAACCTCCAAACCCAGTTTTCTCCACTACTGAGTTGACATCATGCTCCTAATTGGGTTCCAAATCAGTGCCACAGACTCTGGTGGGTAAATGAGGCACCCCCTCCTTTAATCTCAATAGATGCAAAAAAATAGAAGAGAGAGTACCTGTTTCCCCCCCGTCTCTGTCTCCCTCTTTTCTCATGTTAATGTGGGTACGGTCCTCAGTCCCGGGCACCATCTGCCCTTTCTTAGGGTTTGGGCCCCAAGCTCTCCAGACGTGTCCGATTGTTTGTGTGTGTCCAAGCAGAAAGTGGTGAGTACAGAAGGTTCATGTGGCTGAATAGTCTCGGCCATCAAGAGCACGAGCCTACTGTTCATTAGCCTGTGTGTGACGCAGGGAGGGGGCAGCTCGCGTGCCCTGTATGCATCAACATCAAGCCGATCCATGCTTGCTGTGTATGTTCACGTTTTACATGGGACGTCATTGTGAGAGACCGTCGGCTGAGGGACGGCTCGAAAGGTCAACATGTTATTGAAAATGTTTTTAAAATAATTGTGTTTCATCTGAGATGTGATTTTCTTCTGGCCGACCCTTTTTTGAGCAGAATTTGTTCCAGTTTTGTCCGTATCCAATCATACTGTGCGGTGGACAGATGGAGAAACAAATGAGGAGCAAAATGATTCAAACTTTCCAATGCTGACAGCTGCACAAAGTAAACATGCAAGTACTTTGCATGCCACATGAACAATCAGAACAAGACTTGCATTGCTAAACTCTGCCTGGGAAAAGTATTCATACCCCTTGAACTTTTTTCTCCACAATACAACCACAAAGCATAATGTATTTTTGGGGAAATTTTAGTTGATATTTGACACACATAAAGTAGTGCATAGTTGTGAAGCTGTAGTAAAAGTTAAGTAAAAGTCTGAGAATGTGACTGCATTTGTATTCAGCCTCTTTTACTCTGATGTCCCTTAATAAAATCCAGTGCATCCAATTGCCTTCATAATTTAAAGCTGGATTAGATATTGAACAATAATTATATTCAATTTAACCCTGAAAATAGGAAAACCGTTTTGATCAGCTGCAAATCTAAAAATGTATTAACATACACTTAGACTGACAGACTGGGCAATCAATCAGAGAAGCAGCCAAGAAGCCAAGAACGTTGGAGGAGCTTCAGAGATCCACAGCTCAGGTGGGAGAATTTGTTGATAGGACAAATATTGGTCATCCACTCCACAAATCTGACCATTAATAGTGGCAAGAAGCAAGCCTTTCTCAAAAGAAAGCCAAAAAAATCCTGTTAGCAGTTTGCCACAACCCATGTGACAGCATATTAAGTGTATTAAGTGTCCCACCAGAGACAAAAATACACTGTTACCAGGGCTGCTCTGGGTTTTTTGGATCATTATCTAATCCACCTCATCCCAACCTACAGACAGAGACTAAGAGCTTCCAAACCCAAGGTTCACACTGTTAAGAAGTGGACTGAGGAATCAAAGCAGATGCTACAGGCCTGCTTTGAATGC